AGAGAGAGAGAGAGAGAGAGAGAGAGAGAGAGAGAGAGAGAGAGAGAGAGAGAGAGAGAGAGAGAGTTTTATCATATGGCCAGTCTAGACTGGCCATCAAAGCTTAAACCAAAACAAGATCGTCTCCTCCTCACTCACAACACGTCTCCCGATCACCACTTCAACGAATGCGAGAAGAAGCAGACGAGCAGACGACAGGTGGAAGTCCACAAAACACACACAAGCCACCTGATCATGATATTGAAACAGCACGTTGCACTTTCACGAATTGAAACCCCGATGGAATGGGGAAAGTTGCTCGCAAATGCGGTCAAATCACATGTAAGTGATAATAGACAGGTCACGAGCTGAAATCCTGATGGAATGAATGTAGTCAAGCTATGGGCTACCCCCTTTAAAAACAAAATAAGTGGCCAAATCGTCTGAAGTTTCTTAAGCAAACTCGTTGCATGAAGCATAACAAGGCACTAAACTCGTTTTCGCACCCTTACAATGGCTGGCATACGTTAAGAAGCCCACACTAACAGACGCCTGAGAAAGTGAAATAGCTGCAAAAGCTCCTGCTAGAGTGGGTCACAGTCACTGGATATACTCACAGAGATCATGCAATTCTCGACTCCTGAGCTGCTGCTCTGTCTCCCTCCCTGTTAGCTAAACTAGCTGCAATAGGCGCAAATAGACAGTGCAGAACTTAAAGCAAAACAACTTCCTCTCCTCCTCACTTACACCACATCTGCCGCTCAGTTCTTCAAGGAGAATGAGAATAGAAGACGATGAGCAGATGGATGAGATGACTCCTAAGCTGCTGTCACTCCCTGCATCTATCTATGACAGCATCCTTTGGACTAGTGCTCATGTCTCAGCCAATTGTCCCTACTCTCCCAATGGTGCTCATGTGCATTGACAAACTATGACAGCAACCTTTGGACTGGTCAGAGGGGCATAGAGGTATACATGTGCAAACCAATCGTCAGATCTAGTTGCACACAGGCCCCATGCATCCCCCCACTTGGTACCTCACAAAGAAGGGGGTAGAACCTAACTTTCTGGACTTGGTGGTGAGGATTCAAACCTGTGACCTGAGGATTAACTGCTCTAGCCTGCTAGGTATGTGCCATACAGCCACCAAGCATCTACCAGGCTATCTACATACTTAGCGAACCATCGGGAGCACAGATAAAGACTCCCATGGTCTTGAGATTATACAAGTTGGCCACACAAGTCCCCACTTGAACGAACAGCCATGTTCTTACGTACCTGGCACATTACATCGACTTTACGAGTTTGAGTTAGTTTATAACGTTTCTCGACCTTCGTTCTAAAGCCTGGTCCCATCTGGCCAATTTTTTTTCATGATAGGAAATGTTCAATAGGGTCTGATGATTCTGACCCTCAAACCACCAGTCCGGACAACAAATACGCACAGCAGGAGGGCGCACTCTGTTCGGTACCAGTCTTCCTACACCCTGTCCAATACGTTAATAATGCTAGTAGCCATGACAGAGGCCTCGCCTCATCTGGTGGCTCAATGCGTGCCACTTGCTGTAACCCCTGTAAGGCCCTCCAAGTCATTACTGAAGTTCCCCTACTAACTCAAATCGCCCATCGCCCTATCCCAAAGCTGCTGTATTTTCATGTTTCTTTGTCGCTGCTCTGGCTTGTACACTTCCTCCCTGCTCTGCGCGCCTCAAAGCCCAGATGTGCCTCCAAGCCTACATGTGCTGAGATTCTGTCGTCTCTCCAAACTTCACTGCCAGATAGCACAAGTCACTTCCGTATCCATCAACCCACTTTTCATCCACCATGCTTTTTGACAGCCTACGGGCTTGATCATTTCTCTCTGCTCTTCCCCCCCCTCCTCCCCCCCAAATGGGCGGACGAGTAACAGACTCTCAAGTCCTCAAACGTAGTCTCTCAGAGGACACTTCACCATGTAGTTTTTTCTCTCCAGCCCCTTCGTCTTTCCTCCGCCAACTCTGCTCTATTTGCCTTGAAGCCCGCAAATAGTGCTGCACAAGTCTTACTCCTAATCACTGCCTGTTCTTTCTGTCCGCCATGCTCTCTGCCACTCTTTCTGACCAGTTGATTTCCTCCCAGCTCCATTTGCCTCTAGCAGATGTGTTGTGATCCTACCTGTTCCAATGCTTCATTACGGCACAGTGCACCTGACTCCCCCCTCTCTCCACTGCAGCTTGAGAGCCCAATATGCCCTCGTCTGTTTCGCTCGAAGTGCATGCATGCTGCAATTCTATCTATCCTCTTTTCAAACACGATCACACAGCACAGCGCACATGACTCCCTCCTCTATCCACTGCAAACTGAGAGGCCACTATGCCCTCGTCTGTTTGGCTCAAAGTGCATGCATCCTGCAATTCTAACCTCTTTACAAACATGACCAGACAACTCATGTCACTCCCCTAACCATATCCTGCTCTGTGCCCACCATGCACGTTGCTGCTCTTCCGAATCTGTGTTTTCCTTCCGGCTCTGTTTGCCTCCAACCCTAGGCGGGCTGCGATCCTAGCCGCACTGAACTTCATTATTGCATAGCGCAAATCCCAGCGGCCGGCATCTTGTAGTTCTACAAGTGTTGGCATCCTGAGCTCTGAGGCGAAGGCTGTGTATGGGGTAGACAAGAGTCTCTCATCCTCTTTTCCTGACATTTCGGGGCTCGCATTCTGCGTAGACTGCTTATTAGTCCCCTCAGAGGATGTGTGAACTACCTCCTCTTTGCAGGTTATGTACTGCCAGATAGCTACTGCCGCAGAATCTAGGTCCTCCCAAAAGTGCCTACCATTGCGCGCAGCCCGCACTCGCATTGCTGTGGCAAAAGTACGTGTCCCCCCAAACCGCCGTACCGCTAACCATAGATCCAGCCTGCCACTCTCCTTCAGCATCCTTGAGGTAGGGAACTCTGAAAGCCCTTCAGAATCCATGAATTGTCTAATCTCCGACATGACTTGTGCCATGGACAACGGCGATGGCAACTTTTGGCGTCCTAATTGCGCACCAGCTTCACGATAACCACCATGCAAGTTGATGGCAATGTGAAGATCGTACCGTCCTGCAGAGAGAACATCTTTTGCTGTTGGCATCACAGCTGTGCCAGCATCATCAGGGTGGCTGCTCACCGGCAAAGGAGATCTGACGTCAGGACGGGGTGGCTTTTCCCATGAGACAGCCTTTGTAATCGTGTTGTAATACCAAACCTTCACAGAGCTCGACACATTCATCTTCTGCTTCTTCCAACTCTGTGCAATGAACCACTCAATTTCGGCATCAAGATTCTGAAGGTCCTCCCAGAAACCAATAGGCCGGCGCCTTGACCGCAGATTCAGGGCTTGCGCTACAGCTGGAAATCCTCCAGCCATTGCGATCTTCTGTACCAGATCCTGTCGCCCAGCAGCCAACAGCTGTTGCCTCGTGGGCATGTACCCCTCCCTCGCTTGGTTGTCAGTTGGAACGCTAGTCCGGACTGCCCCATGACGCCACACCACAAAACCCTTTGCTTTCATTCTTCTCTTTTTGCGGCATTTCTCAACCCCTTCCGATTGTTCTGCACAGAACTGAAGCAGGAGAGGCCTTAACGCGGATAACCTTCTCGGGATCTCACCCAGATCCAACAAACCTTCAGGAGGTTCGATGACGAGTTGCCTTGCAGAGGTATCGACGCCTTGGACTATAGCAGGCACCAGAGGGATGAGGAACTGCACCTGGTCATCAGCTGAGTCTACATTACGTGCATCAACCATACGGGGAAGAGAAGCGGCTGTATCCTTCGTGGAATCCCTCCAGTTCACCTGATTCGTCGGTGGTGAAACCGCAGGAGAATTTTGGAAAGAGGACGACGACACTGGACTGTTACGATGACTGCAAACGCGATCCCAGTCCCCCCTGCTGGCACATTCACTGTCTGCTTCCACACAAAACACATTCTGGCGTGCTGTTGCCCCTTCAGAGCCAGCATCATCATCAGAGTTTGTTTCCCAATCAAACACACTATCGTCATCGGCTGTCTCTTGCTCCCACTCATCACCCTCAGCCTCTTCTTTGCCTATTGCTTCACCACTGCCGTCATCAATCGGCTTTGTTTGCTCTTTTTGTTGAGACGCCAAGGAGATCACATCGGTGGCCTGATCGTAGTGAGGTGTTCGATACAAAGAGGCCTGAACCCGCAAGGTGGGGTTACTTAACATGCCCTTTGTGTTGCCCTTCACCCCCCGAGCGGCACTGTCAAACACCTCAGCAACATTGCCAACCTCCTCCCCGGTCGCTTTAAGCAGCACTTTCCAGCCCTCCACCTTGATTTTGCCGTCGGCGATGTCGTCAATCAACTCTTTGATGGCCGGCGGCGAAGCCTCCTGTTCACTTTCCCTGTTATCTGGCCCAGGGAAGCAGTGAGAGACCGACATTCCAGGCGGAATATACTGTGTGTCGTGCAGCAGCCGATGACCTGTACGCCATGTTCTCGGAAACCCTCCTGTGTTCCATGCTCGTACTCCACTTGCCAAAGTGCGATCTGTCGAGTCCGCTCTACGATATGGTGGCACCATGGTATAATGGCAACGCCGTGTCTGTAGCAGATACACGGCATGCAGGCGGTCCGCAGCGCACTTGCTCATGGTATCCTTGCATGACCATGTTCTTGGGCCGGCATCCAAACATCTCCCTGGCTTGCCTCCCTCAAACTGAAGCATGCACCGCCGTTCGATTCCAGGACACACCGGGAGGGGTACATGCCAATGGCCCGAACTCTGCGATGCAGCACAGCTTGTGCGAGCTGCAACTCCACAGTGCTCAAGAAGACCCATCGCAATCTCGTGAATGCTTCTCCCAGGGCGGCAGCTGGAAGCTCTCGTTGAATGACAAATGAAGTCTCTGTAAAGAGAATTCGGAGGCAAATGGATGGCCATCATATTATGGAATCACCTGCAGCAGACCTTCTTGGCCGACAGGGATAATCTTAAACACCCATTGGAAACGGTGACAGAGAGTTCTGAATTTTTCATCGCATAAGAATTGAACTGGTCGGCGGTCGCAGGCAGGGTGTTAGCATGAGCCCAAGTAACAGCAGCTCAAAAGCATAGCCTTCCTTCTTGTCCACCACAGTCACAACTTTAGGTTGACCGAGGTTCAAACCGAGATGGTTTAAACCTTGTAAATAAGATCCCCTTGACTCTCATCATAGCCTGCTAGACAGCTATGATACCATAGGTAGGGCACCGGGAACTGCAACTACACCCCTTCTTTGCTGCTCATTCAAGTCACATGTGACAGATGATCTTGCAAGCAAAAAGGACGCCTGCCAGCTTTGGCGCCCCGACCCAGTCATTATTGCTCCACGGTGCTCCACACTTTAATTTGCTTCCCCATCCTCAGTGGAACTTCCCTGCCAGAACACTCTCATGGATCCAGTTTCTCCTGGCGGATCAGGTAGAGAGTGGGAACCAGACGAGAACAGAGTCAGAGAAGATGAGGAAAGCAACCACAGAGCAGAAATAGGCAAAGCCAATGACCCCTTCCTGTTATTCAGGACCACCTCCACCTTCAATAGGATCCGACACTTCACAAAGTCAAGGAACTGTTCCATTAAGACAGGTCAGTCCATTCTACGTTGAAGTAGGACAGATAGTGGTGACAATCAGAAAACGGAGAGAGAGAGAGAGAGAGAGAGAGAGAGAGAGAGAGAGAGAGAGAGAGAGAGAGAGAGA